ATTAAAACTGCTTGCTCTTCCTTTAGATGGCCAGAGCTTTACCTCAAAGTGAGGAAGATTTTAGGCGTGGTGGAAGGCGAGCAGTCTGAGGGTTGCCTGGTGGACACCCAGAACACCTCTCTGTATCTGGTAAGACGTCAGTGGAGAGCAGGGCGGGCGTACAGGAGATGTGAGGCTGAAGTGGTGCCGTAGTGATGGCAAAGGTGCCTGAGGAGGCTTATGTCTCCTGCAGTTCCAAAGGGGTGTTTTGGGACACCCTTTGTCACTTGGCAGCTGTCTTTTCTCCACTGATGTTCTGCAGCATGTTACGTTCCTTCCTCACAGGTGGGTTCAACCAACAGTGCTGTCCCATCTTCCCCAGCCTATGGCAGCCATGAGTTCTGGAGCAGTTTGTCTCCTGCTGGACTTTCCGATGTTGTGAAGCAGCTGTGTGGTGCCCTTCAGCCTCACCTGAACAGTTGGTGAGTTTAAATTCCTTCTAGCCGGCCTCAGGAGAGCTGGGCCCCTGCTCCACAGTCGCTGAGAGACCTGCCTCTGTGTTGCAGGGCAACCGCGCTGAATGGGGCAGGCAGCGTTCTCCTCTCGGGGCCAAGCGGCAGTGGGAAGCTGATGGCTGTCAGAGTTGTGTGTAGCTGCCTTAACCTTCACCTCTTCAAGGTAACTCCTCCTAGGGTCAAGTGACTGGTGGATTTACCGCATACAGCTACGGGAAGCAAATTCAAACACCCTGCACCCATGACATGAGCCTCCTCAGAAGTCATTCCCATGCATGCATGCAAATAAAAGGAGTCCAAGTGTGCTGAGCTTTGCAGCTCGCTCTGGCACAGATTGTGACTTCTGGTGGATATAACCTGAGGGCAACTGTTCGGATCAGCCCAAAGGTCCATCTAGCCCACTGCCCTGTGCTGGGGCTGGCCAGTGACAGATGCTTAGGAAGAGATGATAAGAACAGGGAGCATGGAGTGAGGCTTCCTCCGGCCTGTTCCCTCCAGTGCTCAGGAATCAACAATTTAGAGATTTCTTGGTCCAGAGGTTGCATTTTTATCTTTCTCTAGTAACTCTTGCTATTATTGCTGTCAGTCTGATGTACTCTGCAGATGCTGCTATATGCAGTTGCGTTTCAGGGGAGTAACTTCATATCGTTTGGTAAGATATTGAGTCAGTGCGCTACACCCCAGAGCATGGCAGTAAAACATGTTGAGAGAAATCAGAGAGGCAGTTAGGGTGGGAACTGCTGTGACATTGGGTGTGTTCAGTTGTCCTTGTGTGTGGTCTGAGCAAATGCCATGTTGGCAAGTGAAGCAGAGATGATGCTGAGATCCTCTCCAGCTGGGTAGAAATGCAACCCTTGGCTTGGTAACATGTACGTCAGATCTGGTTCAAAATGTTGCTGCAGAAGAGCAGCCCTGTAACTGTGCTTACGCTCAGCATCGCCACCAGAGCAACAAAGACTAAACATCTGCCATAGCTGTGCCTGGCTTTGGAAAGGGGAACATCATCAGAATGAGATTCGTTTAAAAAGAAAGAGACAGCCACGAGAAGGAAGTCTTTACAGCTGCTGGGGAGGTGAATGGAGGACCCTGCACCATAACACAGGGCCACTGCATAGATCCTGTTGGGGCTGATGGAACAGATCCTGTTGGAACAGATGAGCTGTGGGGAAGGAGAAGTCACTGAAAAGAAGGAGGTATCTCTCAAAATGCCAAAGTTGTGTCCAGAGAAAATAGAAAAGATCGTAGACTCGGCGGGTTAAAGGTGAAAACAAACCTGGGCAGGTCAAAGAAGCCTAGCTATGGAGCAAAGTGAACGGGATAAACTGCCAGGATTAGGCAGTATTTGCTCAGGAGTTTTCTGAGAACTCGGGGATGCAGTAGCTGAACTACCCGTAGAAGAATTTTGCCTTTCATTTAAAACTCCTTGGTACCCAAGGATGGGAAGGTGCCAAATGGGATGCTGTTTTTTAGAAAAAGGGTTCAAGGCAATTTGGGGAACTGCAGGCCTGTCAGCTGGCAGTCTGTAAGAGGTTAGAGAGGGATGGAGTTAGTAAACACACAGATAACTGTGAGCTGCTCAGGAAGAGTCCATGTAGTTTCTGTAAAGGGAAGTCCTGTCCTGTAAACCCTTCCGAGTTCTTTGAAGATGTTACGAAGCATGTGTTGAAGGTAACTTGACTGATACCATCTACCTGGATTTCAAAAAGGCTCTTTAGGAAGCTGAGCGGCTATGGGATGTGAGTGAAGGGCCTGGAACGGATATAGTGTTGGCAGAAAGCTGCGGCCAGGGCAAGGATAATCGGTCAATCCTCACAAAAGACGACCAGCAGCAGAGCTCTGTAGGTGTCTATTCCGGGGCCTGTGCTGGTGAGCATACTCAGAAACAACCTGGGAAAAGGGATGAGCAGTGACATGATGGTTTGCTGATAATACAAAGTTATTAGAGGTAGGAAGAGCAGGGACAGACTGTCCTTGAACTGGAGGAGATCCTTATGAGACTGAGTGATTGGACAATAAAATAGCAGATAAAGTTCACTGTAGGTTGAGGAAAAACATTTTTTTTTTTTACATAGAAAATGATAGATTTTGAGCTGATTGTCAGCAGTGAGGATCAAGAATTCAGTTTTATGTCAATGGCTCCATGAAAACATCAGCTTAGTTCTTCATATATGTCAGAAATCGAATCCTATAGTAGCAAACAAACCAGAGAGGAGATTCTACTGCAGTGCAGATCCATGCTTTGCCACAGCTTGAATCCTGGGCACGGTTCTGGTCTCCCCATCTCAGAACCGTAAAGCCAAACTAGAAAAAAATCAGAGGAGGACACTGAGGAAGATGAGGGGTCTGGAACAGTTTCTCTGTGGTGAACAGCTGAATAAACTCTTAAGCTTGAAAAAGAAACAATTTAGGGAGAATTTGACAGAGGTTTACAAAATCCCGAGTGGCCATTAGAGAGTGGAGAGCGTTTGACTTTCCCTGTCTGCACTAGCACAAGGCCTGGGACACAGGTGAAGCTAGCAGGAGCCAGGTTGAAGGCAAGCTAAAGGAGGTGGCTCTTTGTGCAGATATATGTATTTAGAGGAAAAATCTACTAAACAGCGAAACCACCTCTGACTGTGGAAATTCCCTTAGAGGAGAATGATAGGTACCTGGAAGAGTACTGTGGGGAGAGGGTTATTTATGTTTATCCTGACTGTGCTCCTCCTTGGGCATCCACTTGTGGCCAGTCTTGGAGACAGGGTGGTGAGCTAAATGGCTGTTCTGGTTTAGACCCAAAGTCCGTTCTTATGTTTTTGCAGCTAGGAATTTGCCTTGTGATTTCACGGCCAAAATGAGGTCTAGTCCATGTCTCTGTCCAACCCTGGAAATTCTGGGCGCCAAGGGTGCCTTTTATCAAGTTGTTAAAAATGCTGTTTTCCTTCTGTGCGCTCCTTTTCCTCGCTCTGAGAGTCTGAACGTGTCCTGCGATGTCTCATTCTTTGGTGTCCTTGAATCTGTAGATGTACATTTGTGAACATGGCGGGTTTGGAAGTCACAGGGTGTTTTTTTCTAGGAGAGCTTCCCAAACTCTAAAAGGGCTTAGAAGAAGGAACCTGTAATGAAAGAGAGCTTGAATGTTCCTTTTTGTGGAAGGAAAATACAGGCTTGTTCCTTTTTTCCTGTGCTTTTTCAGGTTAGACGCGTAGAAAACAAGCCAAGTGTTTTGAGGGTTCGAGGTTTCTTCTTTATCGTTTAGAAGTTGTCTTGTTAAGTGTGTCATTACTCTGATAGAAAAGAGGAGTTGAAAAGAGGAAAGCCCTGGCTCAGTGGAGAAGGTAGATACAGCGTTGGCCATGGCCAGGCACTCTCTCTTGCTCCTAGCAGTATGTTCGGTAGGGAGTCTGAGATAGGGACTCTCTTGTTAGAGAGCCACAGTTAAACCTTCTGTTCCTCAAGGTGTAGGAGCCGTATTCCAAGACCTGCTGGCAACTCTGCAGAACAGCCAGTGGATTTCCTCTTCTGACCTTGATGAGGCAAAAGCAAGTGCAGGAACCCCAGCTGTTTCTTTTCAGCCTGCCTTCATGTGGTAGAAGGAGACAAAAAGAGAGCAGCAGCCCAAATTCACATGCACCTGTTGCAGTTCCTGTCCGAAATGTCATCGTAGCACAGACCTCCTGCGGCCTGCCTGAAGGGAGTGGGCACAGATCTCCACCTAACCCTGTCTTCATTGCCGCTGCGCAGCTCGTCTTCTGGGCCTGCTCCTTAGTGCTGCCGAGCTCTTCGTGTCCCACAGACGTGCTCTATTGCTTGGGATCTGGTACAAGCTGCTTCCGGGTGGCTGAGATTTCACCGCACCTTCAGACGCGTGTGTAGTGGAGTCTCCTTGGCTGGAGATATTCAAAACCCGTCTGGGTGTGATCCTGGGAAATATGCTCTGGAGGACCCTGCTGGAGCAGGGAGGTTGGACTAGATGATCTCCAGAGGTGCCTTCCAGCCTCAACCGTTCTGTGTGTAGGATGTGTTTGGGAGTGCTGTGGCTCTGCCGAGACCTGGCGGGTGGCCTTGGGCTCTCGCATGAGGTGCAAAGCACGTGGCTGGCTGTAGCTGTAGTTTTGGCCTTGTGTCCTGTAGCTTTTAAAGGCTAACGCTTTCGCTGTTGGAGCCAGAGGTATGTGCCTCCCATCTTGTTCCCTCCCAGTTCTTCCACCCTCCCCTCCTTTTGTCGCTTGCTGCAGTGCTTACGTTACCACTCCGCCGTCTCTTCCTTTCCTCTGTGTTATAGAGAGCCCAGCGAACATGCGGCCTGTTCTGCTTGCCGTCCTACCAGGACACAGTAATTCCTCCACGCCATAATCTCTACCGCTTGGTGATCAGCAGTTTTTTGTCCTTTGTCTCTGCCCTTCTACGCTTGCATGCGGACACTGCTGCCGTTCTGCTCTCCCTGCCACAGTCCAAACTCCCATCTTTCTTACAGCGCGCGGGATTTCCTCCGTGACCCACTCCTTTCCCTTTAGATTTGCTCTTGAGGCTGTGAGGTTCTCCCCGTGTGCTTGGCATGAGCAAACTGTATGGCCGGTGAGCACGTCCGGCTTCCCTCGCTCCTAGCTACCTTTTCTGGGGATGAGGCCACAGGGAATCCCAGAGAAGCGTTTGGCGCTCACTGCCCTTGGGATGGGGCTGTAGGTGTTCCCAGGGACGGCTCGGCTCTCCCTGTGCGACCTCTGGGCACCAGGAGGCAGCACTACGCGTTTCCAGCACTGTTCCGGCTGCTGCCTCTCCCTTCTGGATGGCTCCATCCAGTGTTTGCCTTGTAAACAGCGTCTAGGCCTCCAGCCACCTTTAACTCCCGCCCCCCAAACACCTTCCCCTTGCACTCTGACCCTGTATGGCGCTGGACTGAACAGCTTCCTGAGCCTTCCCCTCTGCTCTTTGCGCTGTTCCTTCAAGGCATCTTGTTCTCGTTGTCCTGGCCTGTTGCACGGCTCTCCCGTTCCTCCTGGCTGATGCTGCTTGAGCGATCGCATCCGCTTTATCGGCTACCCCGGTCCTTTGGTCTCACGCCTTTGAGACAAGACCCACCCTCACTCCTCGTAGGGAAGTAGCCATTTTTCTGTGCCAGGTAATCTTGAATCCTTTTATGTCTACTTTGTGTCTGGTCAACTGATTCTGACTTTACCAAAGTGCCTCTGGGGAAAGTCCACCTTAGCTCCCCTTCCAGATGTGCTTTGCCGATGGAAAACTCTGCGTAAGCGAGCACTGCCCTCGGTCCCACGGATGTCCGCTTTGCCACCCCTGCAGATTATGCGTGTGGCCTTTCTTGCAGGTTGATTGCGTTAGTTTGTGCGGTGACACCAGTGGAGCCACAGAGGAGAAAATACAGATGGCCTTCTCCCGGGCCCAGCAGTACCATCCGTGTGTGCTTCTGCTGAAGGACATAGAGGTGCTTGGTAGAGACCGGGACGGGCTAGGAGAGGACTCCAGGGTCATTGCTACTCTGAGGCAGCTGCTGCTGGACAGAGACCCCGCACTGAGGTATGGACCCCGCACGTTTGCTGTGGGCACCTGAGGTGATTGCTTCTGCTGTTCCTACTGTCACATCAAGGCTGGCATTGCTGGCATGTCCAGTTTTATTTTTAAACCAGCGGAGTCTCTTCCACGCTTGCTTTGCTTATTTCAGAGGGCCCTCGCCCTTGGAGCATAGGGGCTGCAGGAACCGAGAGGTTTTATCCTCTAAAGCTGGGCTGGTTTGTGACTTTGCTCAGATGAGCAAACCTGACACGTTGGTAGTGGGGCATGCCAAGGGCTGTAGGATATGCAAGGCCGTTCTGCTGGGATTGTGAGGCTAGACCCCAGGAGAGTCCTGAGGCTGACGGCAAGTACCAGAGAAGGAGACCTCAGGTGAGGAAATGAGATGTCGCTTGAGGGGACAGAGCTTGCAAAGCAGTTCAGGGGTAAGCTGGAGAGGAGTGGCTGTATGAGAGAGCTTAGCTAGTGTGTGCATGGTCCTCAGAGGAGAGGCCACCCTTTAGAGAGCGAGGTAGTGAGGGAGGTGGCAGTGGGGAGAGGGAGGTTTCTATAGAGCTGTGGCCACGTGCTCTCCTCCCTTTCTCAGCAGCCACCCTGTCTTGGTGATTGGCACAACATGCAAGCCCCAGGAGGTTCCCACAGATGTGCAGACCGCTTTCCTTCACGAGGTGAAAATTGAAGCCCCTTCAGAAGAGCAGAGGAGGTTGATGCTGAGCGCGCTGACCGCCAGCCTTCCTCTGGGCAAAGAAGTGAGCCTAGCCAAGCTGGCCCGCAGGACTGCGGTGAGTGAAACCACGGGGGCAGGTGCAGACAGGTAGCTCCGTGGTGTAGCAGGCCAGGAGTGTTTGCCAACCTCCTCTGCCAGGCCATGGAGAAAGGGGGCAACTCCCACAGCCCGGTCAGCTTCTTCAGTGGTTAACTCTGATCCTCAGACATCAGGGGTGCTGTGCATCAGCTTTAGCTGCACGTTTCCAGTGCCGAAGGACTGGACATCTTTTGCAGAGGTGTTGGTGGATGCTCACCTCTGCTAGAAGGATACTCATCACCCTGCAGACAGAGCCAGCGTTAAAAATAAATACGTAAATAAATAAAGCTGAAGACTTGAACGAGGGCCTAGAAGATCAAAAACGACTCTGCAAGAGGTCTCTCCGCGTACGGCTTGTATGGCTTAGCTGGAGCAGTGGTCAGGGGCTGAACTGACGCTGTTTGTTCCCTCGTTCACAGGGATTTGTGCTGGGAGACTTCTGTGCCTTGCTGTCCCGCAGCAGCCGTGCCGCTTGTACCCGCATCCGAGCTCTGAGGTAGTGTAAGGAGTAGGGTGGCGGGGGAAGGGGCTCGGCTGCAGCAAGTCTGATAACACTAGGAGGGTGGGCAGTGCCTCAGTCTCTCGCTTCTTTATTTTCTTGCCAGTTTTCCAGGTGGACTGAGTGAGGAAGTGGAGAGAGATTTTTGCACTGCTGGGTTCCCCGTGCTGGAGGAGGATTTCAGTGTTGCGCTGGACCAGCTGCATGATGCCCATTCGCAGGCAGCAGGAGCCCCAAAGGTAGGCTGCGGGGCCGGAGGGGGGAATTTGAGTCTCTAGAGCTGTGTGACTCCTGATCTTGCCTCTTCACAGGCCTCGCCAGACCTGAGCTGTGCTCTAACATGTTGCCTCCTGCTATGTCCTCTCACATGCTCCCCAGCCTTGGAAATTAATCCCTCTGTGGTCTTCCCCCACTAGTGCTTTTTTGCGTTGTTGGCCTTGAATTTGGGCAGGGAAGCCCTCGCTGCCCTCACGGTAGGCTGTTTGATTAGCTAGTGTGGTGGGAGTGCCAGGCTGTATGGTGCTTCTCAAGGGGCAGAGGCAACCGCTGGTCTGGCTGCCCTGTGGAGGTCTCTCCAGCCAGCCGCAATATAGGAACAGAGAGACGGGGGGACAAGCTGGTGAAGGAGTTTCCCCACGTATGTGAGAAGCCTTAAATCTGATCCGTGGCCTTGGCCGCTGCTGGAGCTGGGGCAGGCTCATCTGACAGCTGGGCAGTTTGAAGAGCTGGGGATTCCTCAGGGAAACGGAAAAAGGGTGTGAGAGAAAACCAGTGTAGTTGGCGTCTCAGGAGGGGCGTGATCCGCCTCTGGCAGCTCTGGGCCAACGAAACAGTGTTTTGGGTAACAGTTTCTGCTGGGTAACACGGGTTCAGGACCAAGCGAGATGATCAGAACCTCTTCTCCGCACCGTCAAGTCCAGTCGGCTGAGCTCGGCCCAGGATGCCTCCGAGCAATTCCCCTGGCGTCTTCCCAAAAAACCCATTTGTGGTCCTGCCCTGGGAAGGTGTCACCTTCCTGGTGTCATCGTCCAGGGGCTTCTCCGGGACTGTTAATTGGTGCATTAGCTTATTAAAGACTGAGATAAGCTGTGCTTTGAGGCGTGTTTACTAAGTTCGCTATAGTAAAAACCACCACAGAGCGTGCTCTGCACTGAGCTGGGTGAATGGGAGCTAATTTTGTTTGTATTTTACAGTCACTTATCGCTTTCTTAGTAATTGGCTGCAGTTCAGAAAGTCCATTAGCAGGTTCCTGGATACTCTCGTGTACATAACTCTCAAATCCCCACTTGCGTTTTCTTGTTAGTCACGCATTTGTTTGTGGTTAAAGGGATGTCAGCTTGAGTGTCCTAGAAAGAAATAATTTCAAGCCTCCAGTTGCTAGCAGTATTTCCAGCACAGCCTGGACTTCTGATACGCTCCTTTGAAAACAACTTTGCTGCCATTTTTCCAGCTCCCCTGCTGATGTTTATAGAGCTTTTTTCAGGAGAAAGAGGGCTTATGACCTTTTGCTTTAAAAGATTTCTTTCTGGAAATGCTTGTCTTGTCTGGCCTGATTTTCCTGGCGAACTTGCTGGGCAGCTGGAGAAACAGCACCATAACATCATCTCAAGTAGCAAAGGAATGAGAACCAAGTTGGCTGAGGGGGAAGGAATTCTGCTGTGGCCTATTTTTATACTCCTTGGTCATGCTGGCACCTGTTCCCCACCCGGCCGACAGCTGGGGGGAAGTGTTTTCTGCCTTTGCTTTCTGTGCACGCTCCCAGGAGAGCTGCTCTTGCTCTCTGGAGAGATGCATCCTGCAGACTCTGGTATTCCTGCTATTTCCAAAGCTTTGAGCAGAACACCAGCGTCCTCCAAGGATGTTCTACTCAGCAGAAAATAACGGAAGTGGCCTGCACCGTGTCCCCTTGCACGTTTGCAGTTGGCCCCATCCCTGTCGGTTTCTTGTAAGCATCCATGGCTTTTGTTCCCATATTCCCCTTTTCAAAAGCAGATAATTTTCCATAGAGCGTCCTTCTGGATATCTGTCCTCCACGTCCTCCTTCACTCGACAGAGGTCCTAGCAGCTCGGGTTTTGTCACTGTGGTGTGAATGCCCTTGTGCGCGCTCACCGCCTGGGAGGACGAGACACCCTGAGCATGAGTAGCTCACAGCTGCTGGGCCCAGGTTTCCTGTTTTGCCTTCTCCCATGTGCCCGCAGGGCTGTGTTTGCAGAAGGGCGCTCTCCCCACAGGGCTGCAGGCAACCCTGGCAGATGCTTTCCCGGCTGGGTGTTGGTTTTGTTTGTTTTATTGTTTTTGTTTTCACTGGCAGTCAGTGTGAGGTGCAGCAGAGAATCGGAGAGGAGGCAGCAGGCCGTGAGCGCAGTGGGAGGTGGGCGGTTCGTTTCCCCATTGCGAAGCATGGGAGAGGGCGGATATGGATGCTGGCGGACCTCATGGCAGGGACAGTTGGGCAGTGCCGTGCGGGGCTGGCTTGCCGCATGCAGTTGACAGCGCTAGGGGCACAGAGAGGGGCTGATGCCCTGCTGGAGCAAGAGCTGGACAGGCCTGCGCAGGGCTCGGGAAGAAGTACTGAGAGGGACTTTCTCTTCCGGCAGATCCCCTCTGTGTCCTGGCAGGATGTTGGCGGGCTCCAAGAGGTGAAGAAGGAGATCCTGGACACTATCCAGTTGCCCCTGGAGCACCCAGAGCTGCTGTCACTGGGTCTGTGCCGCTCTGGCCTGCTGCTTTTTGGCCCTCCTGGGACAGGGAAGACCTTGCTGGCGAAAGCCGTGGCAACCACGTGCACCATGACGTTCCTCAGGTGACAAGTGGGCTATCGTGTGGTGGGACTGGCTTTCTCCTGGCAGCAAAGAGTTCTGCTCTAACCGTCTCCTTCTCTCCCTGCCCTGTAGCGTGAAAGGGCCAGAGCTCATCAACATGTATGTCGGGCAAAGTGAGGAGAACGTGCGCAACGGTGAGCAGAAGCGGCCTGGTCCTGCGTGTGGGGAGCTGAGGCTTTTCTGTGGTGCTGGAGGGAAGGAGGTAGCAGTTAAAGCCCTCTTCCAAACTCCTACTCATAGCTGCGGACGAGGGTACCAACCCAGCGGTCTCCCACACCCAGTCTGTTCTCTGCCTTGCTGCAGCCACCCCTCCTGCTCCCTCCGCTCCTGCTGTTCTTGTCCTTGGCATTGCTGATGGGACAGCAGCCCCTCTGAGACACAGCCCCAAGCCTCGGGGCCCGTTGTGCTGGGTGCTGCCCGTGCGGGAGTCCCTGCTTTGGCTGAGCCTTTCAGGCAGGAGCGGTGATGGTCGGTGAAGTGGGACGCAGCTGGTTTCCATTCACAGCTCCTCTGTGCCGGTGGCTTAGCGGGTCCTGGTGTTCTCAACTGCTGCTCCAGCTCTTTCTCACCTCCTGTGTGTTCTCTCTCCTCCCAGTGTTTGCCAGGGCCAGGGCAGCCGCTCCCTGCATTATTTTCTTTGATGAATTGGACTCCCTGGCCCCAAACCGTGGGCAGAGCGGAGATTCAGGGGGTGTCATGGACAGGTAAGCGAGCACGGCGCATCCTCAGGAGAGCAGGGGTACCTACCTGAGCTGGGGGCGCAGGGGATGGCCCAGCGAGGCAGAGTCCATCACAGCTCTCCTCCTGTCCCTCTTCCCTCCCTGCTCCCTTCAGCTCGCCTGCACAGCCTGTCTCCTCTCTGAGGCCATCAGTACTGCTGTTTGCATTGCAGCAGATCCCTGATTGCCCAAGCCTGTTGTGCAAACATTTGGTTAAGACAGGGCCTCCTCCAATAGCTTCTGTGGCTGCTAACTGCTCCCTTTGGCCTCCCCAAGGTCATCCTTCACGCTCCTGCCTTGCTCTCCTCCCATTAACTGCTGTTTCCCTGTGGTGGGAAACCTTTCAGCTGCCTCTGGTGGGAGCAAAGTATGTGCAGCTTGGAGACACCCAGAAACCAGGCGCTTTCCTTCAGGCGTCTTCTGCTGAGCTGGTGGTCCGTGTCCAGTCTTCCTCTCCATCCGTGAGGAGTTCAGCAGAACGTAGGGTACTGGAGCGGTGCCACGTGCCCCCAGTGTCCATCTTCACACGCAAACCAGCATGTCTGGAATGGGCTGTTTAGGGGCACGCCAGCAGGCTCAAAGTGGTCCCAGAACCTAGCGGAGACGTCCCCAGCCCAGCAGGTCTGTGTGATGCTCTGAAGCTGCTGCATGGCTGGACCAGCTCGAGTCCTGCAGCAGCAGAACTGCATCTGCGCTGTGTGCCAGTCGCTGCCCTGAAGACTGGCTGGCAGCGTTGCTGGCCTGCCAAGGCGCGTGCCCAGCGTTGCCTGACAGGGCAGGCTTGCAGCTGAACCTGCTGGGCAGTGCCGCATGGCAAGGAGAGTTAGCATTAGCCGGCACGTCTGGGTGGGGAATCTGAGCCACCGCTGTGTGTGCCAGCCTCTGTTTGGTGTGTGTTGCTGGTGTCTGTGATAGCAAGTATAAGCATGCGCAGCCATCCTGGAAGGGTTCAGAGCCAAAGAGAGGCCTTTAGGACTGTCTTAGCACTAGGGGTTTGCGCTCACTCTGCACTGAGCCTACTCGATCGCTGTGTCCACCCGGAGAGATGTGGGTGGCTGTATCAGGGTAGTTCCAGAGAAGAAAGATAAGAGCTGGGGGGTCCGAGACATGGACCTGTGAGTGGTCTTGCTCACGCCTCCTGTCGTCCGTTTGGCACCTGGGTGTGATAGTGGGCAGTTTGCCAAGGCCTGGCTGTGAGTGTCTTGTCTCATTCCTTGCAGAGTTGTCTCCCAGCTCTTGGCTGAGCTTGACGGCCTTCATTCCAGCAGAGGTGTGTTTGTCATCGGAGCTACCAACAGGCCCGACCTCCTGGACCCGTCGCTGCTCCGCCCGGGGAGGTATGTCGCGTGCTGCTCTGCCTCACTTCAGGGCTAGAGCTCCTCAGGCAGCGAGGAGCTGGGCTGTGTCCCAGCCGGGGTCCCTCCACAGAGACGATGCTGGCCCTGACCTGTGGGAGATGTAGGAAGCTGAGAGGCCGCTACCTACAGTTGTAGCAGCAGCACAGCGCACTGCTGCTGGTTACTTTCCCCTCACCGCTCTGGTTGTTCCCCCAACGAAAGAACGGGGCAGAAGGGCTCCTGCCGTGGCGCTGAATTGGCAGCAGAAAGGGGTCCCCTGGGACCTTTTCTGCAGAAGTGCCTCCCGGTCTGTCCCGATGCCTGCAGTTAGTCCATCCTGGGGCAATACTTGGTATTTGCCTTTGTTGGACCTCGTGAGGTTCCTGTGAGCCCATTTTTCCCCAGCCTGCTGAGGTCCCTGCCCTGCTGAGGTCCCTGCCCTGCAGTGTATTGACTGCTTCCCCCCGGTCTGGTATCACCCATGAACTTGACAGCAAGAGGAGCTGCCCCAGGTCCACCCTTTGGTTTCTGGTGCACCGGGTTGGGGTTTGTGGGGAGAGGTTTCTCTTGGCCTTTTTTTGACTGTCTCTTCTCTCTGCTGACAGATTTGACAAGCTGGTCTATGTGGGCATAAATGAAGACCGGGAGTCGCAGCTGCAGGTGCTGAGTGCCATCACCAGGAAGTGAGTGACAGTGTCGTCTTGCAGCTGCCTTCCACAGCCTTGCGATGGGCAGCAGCCTCTCTGGGGCTCACGTGTGGGGCGCTCCAGCTTGGCCTCACGTCTGGGCCCTGGAGAGCACCCGAGTTGCTGGCGTGCAGCCAGCAGGAAGGGGAGGACAGGGTAGTTTTTCTGGAAGCAGACTGGGGCTCCCTGCACGATGGGAGCAGCTCAGCCCAGTGTCCAGGTGATGAAGGGTGGAGGAGCTGGTAGAGTTCTCCAGTCACCGTGCCTGTGTCTCTTACTCAAGAAGCTCAGCCAGATCCTCGCAGCGTGGTGAGGCTGCAGGGCACCGACACAGCAGGAAGCCCCCGTTCAGGTTTCCGCAAGCACGTTTCCTACTGTTTCCAGGACCAAGGGCACAGGTAGCTCTATTCATCTCGCCTCTTCTTGACGGCAGTGCTGAGGGGTGTTGCGCAGCCTGTGCTCTGTGTGTCTTCCTTAACAAAACAGGTGGTGTGAGCAGGGGGTGTCTGGCTGCTTCCCAAGCTCTTCTGAGCTCCCCAGAAGGGCAGGAAGCGAGCTGTGCAGTTCAGGTACGGAGGTGCCCCCCGAGAGAGCTGGGTGAGCAGCAGTGACTCGGCCTCTGCAGGGACTCCGTATGCTGGATAGCTGGGATTGCTGCTCCCTTCAAGGCTAAGCTGGTAGGAGAGGCGAAAGCATGGACTGGCCGTGTGGCTTGGCAGCAGGGCCCTCCAGCACAGTGCTGCTCTTTGGGCTCTGGGGGGCTCCCTGTCTGCAGTGCGGCTCTGATGGGATAGTTTGGTGTCCAGGTGGTTCGTACTGTCAGTAATTAAACATGTGCTTATTCAGCCCAGGCTGCAGGCTGTTTCCATGTATGTAGAGCACTTAATTTCCCCGAGTGAGAGTTCAGAGTTGCCTTTGATCCTGCTTAGCAGGAGAGAGCACCTTGGTGCAGGGATGTCTCAAACAGAAATGGCCATATTAAAAAACAAAACAGAACAAACCACCACCCACTCAGGAAAGCCTTTGATTTTTGGAGCGTGCAAAGCACAGCCGAGCAAAGAGCACGACTCTGGCCTCCAGTTCCTCCTTTCCATTCACTCTGGCTGCCGCGTCTCTCCCAGTCTTTTTTTTTTTGGTAGCTCTTACACCTAATGGTTTTCTTTCTTGACAGGTTTAAATTGGATCCTGCTGTGAGCCTCCCCAGCGTCCTAGAAAAATGCCCCACTCAGCTGACAGGAGCAGACATCTATGCGCTGTGCTCGGATGCCATGATGTGTGCTGTCAAGCGCAAGGTGGAATGGATTGAGGAAGGTGGGAGCCTGACCCCTACCATCCCACGTGCTGGGGCTGCCCCGCAGGGTTACCACTGCCAGCAGGAGCTAGGCTTTGAAAGAAGCGCCTCGATGGCTTTGGGACAGTGTGTGAGTGCTGGGCCGTGTGTTACTGGCAGGCAGTATCTGCACACGTGGGGTCATCTTTCTCTCCGGAGCTTGGCCAAGGGGAACGGAGAGAGAGGCATGACTTTCAGCCCGTTGGCAAATAAGAGCAGGCTGGAGGGAGGGCTCTTGGGACATGCTGGCTGGCCGTGCTCTTTGCTCTTAGCCTTTTCCTCCTCTCTCATGCAGGGCTGGATACAGAGAGCTCTGCTCTGGTCCTGACCATGGAGGACTTCCTGCAGGCTGCTGTGAGGTTGCAGCCATCAGTCTCTGAGCAGGAGCTGCTCAGGTACAGACTCATCCAACAGAAGTTTGCTGCCTGCTAACCCCCAGCAGAGCTGAGCGTGGAGGGAGTGGTGAAGAGGATGATGTGGTAAAGGACGCAAGAGAAGGGGGGCAGAAGCAGTTGCCCTCCTGATTTTCTCCCGTCACGCCTAGACCCTCTTCTTTTGTGCCTGGAGGAGCAAGCGGCCACGCTTTGCCCAGGTGGTGTTCTGCTCAGTCTGGCAGCGGGTCCCGTGTCGCTCCCTCACGTCCAGGGGAGCACCTCACGGGTGCCCAGGAGCATACCAGGGTGACCTCCCAGCAGGTGGCAAGCTGGCAGTCTCGTGGTCGGGGGCAGCGTGGGAACGTCTCTGTGGGTGCCAGGCCCTTTGTTGGAGAGCGAGGCCCAAACTGCACCCGGTTTGGCAGCAGGAGGGGGCCTGGAGGCTCTCCCTTGTTGGGGTGTCAGCCCCAGTGAGGGGGTGCCGGCCAGAGCGGGGAGGGACGGCGAGTGATGCTGTCGTGGCTGGCCTGGGCTTGATGGGGACGTGGTAAATAAATGCAGGTTTCTACTGCAGCTCTTGGCTATAGGTGGTCACTGTGCGGCCTTGGGCCTCTGCTCGCTGCAGGCATCGGTGGCTCAGGAAGGGCCCTGTCAACCCTGGGAGGTTTTGCAGAGCGCGTGGTGGCCTGCATGGCCTGGGGGGACGTGGGAAGGTGGCTGCCACCATGGTTGGGATGGAGGGGCAGGAGCGCGCGGCGGACGAGGAGGGAGCAGGGTTTGAGAGCTGGGAGAAGAGACAGCACTGGTGAACCTTGCTGCTGCCCACAGCTGCTCCACGGGAGGGTGCAGAGAAGAGAGAGGCCGAGTCCTCTTGGAGGTGCGCGGTGACAGGACAAGAGGCAACGGGGACAAGTGGCAGCAAGAGAAAAAGCTCATTCCCCATTAGGAAAAAAGTGTGGCATAGTGGGAGTAGTGAAAGCCCTGCGGGGTGGGTGCTGCCCTCCCCCTCCATCCTGTGCACCGAGCAGGCGCCTCCTGACGCTCCCGCACGTGCGCTGCCCCTGGGCTTTGGCTGAGGAAGCCAAACCGCCA